ATGCCTACACATGATCGAGTTGGAACCCATAGTTGCTTTCTACTGTTAACACTAACGCTAGCTGTTTGTGTTGCTAACGTTTCTTACCTTAAGGCTGTCATATGGCGGAGTATTGACATTCGGTGAAAGTGCAGCTGCGTCAGCATTGGTGAATTCATGCTCGCCGCCTTCCGTATTCGAATGTTCTAAAGTGCACACCATAATATTGTATGTACGACTCAACAGTTATCATCCATGCCAGATATAATCCTCTTAATCATCGGGTAACTTCAGGGCGCATCAGCGTCGTGGTTTACTCTCAGCTGAGCATCCGGATGACAGTGTGGAACTCCGTAGTTGACTCTGCTGTTACACGAACCCACGTTGTAGAAAGCAGTTTTACATCTATTAGGCTTGAAATGCCCATCCATTGTCAGATATCTCATCCATTAATAACGTTTTAAAGGCGAAGGCGAACGTTTGCCGAATAAATCTTCTTATCAACCTCCCCTTTACTCAATAATCGAAGAAGGTGCTGAGAAAGCTTGTATCTTGTTGGCAAAGATCTGTAGATTCTAATGGTCTTAAGTTAAATCAATAAAGTCCACCATTAAGTTAATTGTTTAGAGTTGAAAGGTCGAATCAAAGTGAGGCTTTAGGATCTGTATACGAGCATAGCGTACAAAAATGGTAACAGGTTGCAGAAATATATGAGACTCCAGCACAGAACCTCGCAAAATACCGTGGACATGGAACAACAACAAATGGTAGGTTGTTGGAAAAATAACTTTGGCTTTGTTTTTCGAACTTTGATTCCTAGCTTTAAAATGATATCTCATCCATTAATACCGTATACCACCTGAACACATTCGCGACGACGCCTAACTCTTCATGATCGGCGCAAGGGACGACTCCTAATTTTTCGCCTCACTCATTGCCTCACACCGGGCACAGTCTTCCACTGTAAATGACTCCTATGGAGGAGGTTTCGTTGTGAATGTGTTGAAATGCAATTTCATGTGCATTTTCCTTGAAAATTTCTATATTATTACGGTGATTTGTAGGGAGGCGTGTGACGCATTGGTCGGAGGCGTCCTGCAATACACAAGGGATTGATCTCCGTGCTGCAGACACGCCAAGCCTTTCATCCTTCCGGGGTCGGGAAATTGATACCAGACTTGCCTGGGTGGATAGCAGCGCTCGCTCGATGCATCGGTAAGCCACCGCGAGTCATTGTAAAGGCCAGCTACGCATTCAGTCGTAACCAAACGATTCTTAATGAAGTCAGATGCTTGGCACATCCCACAGGAATGGATCAACGCCGAGAGCATTATCCTTCTATGCTTTTTTATGGTGACTTATATCAATTTTGGGTAATGAGATGGAAATAAAGGTACCCATAATGTAGTGATCGAAAAATTCGTACATTATCGAAAAACCAGCATCGTTGGCATTTCCTGATATCAATGTTTGAATGTCGGACGAGTTGTGTGAACTCCGCTACCGACAATAAATTACGCTTCGGTCGACACGAACATCGCGCTAGATTAAGTGTAGTGCGCTACCTGTTGAAGAAAAGATGTCCGACATCACACCACGTGGTATGCATGTGGTGTTCACGCTAAGGTGTAGATCTCACAAGATTTGCATCGATCAGAAGTAATGATTGTGATTGTTGATTTTTTATGCATTGACTCTAACAAAGATGTCATGAATCTGTGAATTCTTTGACAGGAAATTTATGATTAGCGCGATTTCTTGACCATCGAAGAGTGGGTGAAGAGGGAAGTGACCACACAATTCTTCGGACTACAAACTCTGACTCGTTGCGAGATATGATGTTGTCACCACCCTCGTACCATTTCCGAAGCCAAATTATTGAGGAATATGGTAGTCTTTTCTTATAGCCATGATTTACTTCTCTTATAATAAAAGGATAAAACTCTCGGCGTTGATCAATCCCTGAGGGGTGCACCATGCAATCGACTTCATTAAGTATCGTTGGAGGTGATTGAATTCATATCTTGGCTTTGTAATGACTCTGGTGGCCTACCGATATATCGAGCCAGTGCTGCTATCCTCTCAGAGAAGTCTGGTACTAATTCACCGACCCCGGAGGGATGGAAGGCTTGGTGGCAAATAGGCACAGATACCGATTCCACATGTGAGTTGCAGGGTGCCCCCGACCACTGTGCCACACGCGCCCTACTTCTCTTATACAATAATGAATTTTTTATGTAAAAGCATTCAGTGCGAAGACTAATGTCTTTTTCTTGTAGCGACGAAAAGACCTGGTACGTCTTCCTCTGTTTTATGCATATATTTCATCACCAAATGTTTTGCGACTCCCTTCCGCTTCTCTCGCCACCCTCGCACGCATTCCACCTCGATGTCAGTATCTACCAACCTTAAAACGGAACGAATATAATACTTCAATATATTATACAATAGATTAGTAAGCTAGCAAAAGGTTGCTGCTGCAAAACTTCCATCCGGCGGACGTCTCGGCGCCTTCGCCTTTTTCAGAGCCACGTTGATCCAAGTAGCTTGTCTACAATCAGCCGTTGTTACGATGTGGTCTTCTTCGTCGCGTCGAGTTGAATCTTCTGGACTGGAAGAAAAATCGAGGAATTGACCCGATTCAACGCCAAAGACCCACATTGCGTCGAGGGTCGTCGCCGGCCAGTTGGCTTGGATCAACGCGGCTCTGATGGAGGCGAAGACACCGATGCACTCGCCTGATAAAGGCTTTATAACAGCCTTATCTTAACGTAATCACCAAGGAGAATATTGATTAGTCATGTCGAAGTTAAAGGGAAATAGGTTCTAAAATATTAAAAAGCGAATGTACTTTCGATTTGGAACAGCACAGCGAAGAACTCACATTGCAGTGGAACGTTTTCAACGTGAACAATGGATAAAATCACGCTAAGGCTCAATTCACCGCCAACGTTAATCGTCGAGTTGAAGTATCTCGTATGACTCGGGAGTGCCTACTTATCAATTGGCGGTGTTAGTTCGGTGATAGTGATATGCGTATTCCAACCGTGAAGAGCACCATTTCGGTGTCACTAAGGGATGAGAGGGGAGGATAGGCTTGCGGTTCGAAATGGAGTTGTTTTCATTGTGTCATTACAAAATTTCAGTAAAATGCAGTCTTGTTCTGTCTGGATATGTTCTTCATTTAAAAAAAAGCTCTCGGCGTTGATCAATCCCTGAGGGACGCGCCATGCATCCGACTTCATTAGTCATCGCTAAGGTGACTGAATGCATATGTGGCCTTTACAATGACTCGCAGTGGCCAACCGATGTATCGAACCAGTGCTGCTATCCTCCCAGACAAGCCTGGAGCCAATTTGCCGACCTCGGAGGGATAGAAGGCTTGGTGGGTAAGAGGCATGGGAATCGGTCCCACTTGTATTGCAGAGCGCCTCCGACCACTAGGTTACACGCACCCTCTTTTCCGTACATTATTTTTCCGTACGTTACATCCGAATTCTATCATTGCCCCATTCTTCTCCCTCTTGCTTTTCCATTCTTTTTTTATCCTCAGAAGCTAAACAGATCAGAACCGAACAGACTCAACGGAAGATTTGAACATTTCCCGTGCCTCATGTTGAGTCGTGGATGGAACTCACAATTACAGCTGCCCTAACATCCTCATCAACTTCAGAGAAATTCTTTTGTCACTGAAAATAATATTACAAAAAACGAACAAGACAAATGAGTGGATGCTAATCACAAACGATAGTTTCTTCTACTCTCCCGCCATGTCGTCCGAATACTTCGTCACTCCTGTTCGTCGAGTTCTCGGGAAAGGACATGGGCCCTTCTACCTTTCTCGTCATATCGTCCGAATACTTTACCACTCCAGTTTGTCGAGTTTTCCGAAGATGACATAGGTGTCATCCTAGCATTCGGATCCGAAAGTTCACAAATCCCAAAACACAGTCCGTCGCACTGAACTCGTTGAGTGATATTGTCGGCGAATAAATAACCCCATCGTCCATCTCCTGCTGCTCGAATGAACGGGACACCGTTGGTTTGGAGCACGTTTCAACAGCGCCATTTTTGAACTAGGCGCCTTAGTGTTCTGCCCGAGTGTCCGGGCTCATTTCCCGCTCAGTGTTTGACCGTTTTAGAAATTTCATAAGATAGTCAGCTCTTTATCGTCTATACTTTCATTGAAAATAACACAATTTCTCAACTGTTCGCTCGGGTGGAGTTCCGGCTCGTTCGCCTCCTTCAGAGCCGGAGTGATCAAAGTCGATCGTCCACAGTCGTCCGTTCTTCCGATGTGGTGTCTTCGTCGTCGTTTCGAGTCGAATCTTCTTCAGTGGAGCACCGCCTGAGTGAGGCAACTTCACACGGCAGCGCTCTTTTATACAGGACGGTTGCTGGTACTTGATATTTACTCAAAAATCTTAGTACTTTCGTGGATACCGCCTTCATTATTAGTGGTCATCCGAAATAAGGAGTTACAACGTTATTTATGAGTCCATATAGCGCATTGGTTAGAGGTGCTCTGCTACATAAGCAAGATTCGTCGTTTGTTCTACTCCGTCCCCATTCCTCTGAGGTCGGTAGCCAAAACCGGCGTTCTCATTTCTTGATTCATCTGCAAGTGGATGATCACGGGCCACATTTACTGAACCCTTGGTTTTGAGAGCACATCACATTCCGCGGAACTACTCTCTTAAGCTTCTTATTCGATAAATTTTCGATGTACTCCGTAGCCGACCACGAAGTGAGATAGTTCATTTGAGGAGGTTCATAAAGGCATGGTTCAATAGAATTCGTCATACTTTTGCTACATATGCTCAATTTAAGTGCTTGTGATTGAAACTACTAGCAAAAATGCACTGCACATTATTGAGGGTGGGAGGAAAGTGCTCAGTTCTTGGCCTAGTTCATCTCAACTCAGTCCGCTCTATGAATTGTTGCGCTTTGTAACTCGTAGAGACCACAAAATTGCGAACATATTTCCTTTAAGTGCTGGTATTCACGCATTCTGTGTTCGTATGATAATATCGGAGTTCTCGATCCACGAAGTTCTGGCTTCTGGCGAGGACTTGCATCTGAGCTGTCATGAGGTTCGACGGCTGGCATTGTCATTGAGGCAGGTCTTCGCCGATGCGACGGGTGGCCTTGTGGCACTACGCATGGAGCGGTCGGCAAGAGTCATATGTGTCCTTGTCACGTGAGTTTTTAGTCTAATTGAGATACGGTTTGTATCTGATGAATAGTTTCAGCTTGCTAGAGACGCGCGTACCCTTTATTTTTCTTCGTGAGGATGAGGATCCTGTATCAGTCGGTGCAAAATGGCTTTTTGATGGAAAAAACGTGAGCGCCATTTTCTATCTGCTCCATATTTGTAGGAATTTCATCAATCTTTTCACTAGAATGGGCATATGATAGGTGGTTCAAGTATGTGTGACAGCTTTTTTTTTTATTTCAAATCGAAGTTTATAAACCTTGGAAGATATGGAAACGTCAAACATGGCTTTTTCGCACTGTAGTGCTACCTTTTCAGATTTTATGAATGGTTCGCAATTGAACATATAGTGATTTAGCTGACGAAACTTTCCTACAATAGAAACGAGAAAGCCGTAGATATTACCGAAGACAACGAGTTGTGCTACTTCATTCGAACTTCTGGAACCACTGGTATGGAAAAGCTAGTCGGCGTCCCGTATTCCTGCATTGAACCCAATATTGAAGACTTCAGGTACTAACATATTTCACGTCCATCTCGGTAGTCGATGTAATAGTTTGTCCCATAAATGTTTTGTCTACTTTTCTTCTCATAGTTCCTCTGCTGTGTATTTACCTCAGTATTCCTCCCAATGATTTACTGCCTCGTTGTGGCTGGTAAGTGTTCCTGGGCGTCGCGCTGCGACTTACTCGGCGGATTCATCCCCTGGCAAGGTCTCCCAAGCTGAGAAGGAGTCCGGCTTTTCCATCAGGAATCTCAGCTAAGAGTAGACGAATACCAGGATCGACCACCGTCCAAGTATGAAACTAGTCTCATGGTGGCAAATCTCCCTCTAATCCACAAAGGCGCTGACTGCATCTGGTGGTGACGACCTGGGTCAGACTTTGGCTAGGCTGACCTTGGTGCTTCAAGGAACCGCATTTGTTAAACTATCAGAACTCCGGAAAATGGGAATCATGCTGGGGTGCGCACAACCAGTGAAGACGGGCCATCCAAGTACCCAAGTATAATTATCTCAGTATTTCAGTTATGGTAGTGGTCAGTTTGTTCCACCACTTTTCTATATCCTTGAGTATACTACTGAAATCGTTTAGGGAGAGGTTTTCGATATCCTGTGAAGATGTGATCTTGTGCTCCACGTCGTTTTTCTTCGATCCTTCGATAGTCGAGATATTCTTGTCTCTACGGTGGTTAGTTTCTTTGTATCTTTATCACACAAGTTTTTAAATGCAGCGCCAATAAGTTGCTATTCGCAGCTGATGCCATACTTTAGTTTTCTTGAAAACTGAAAAAAGGATAAAGCCGTCGGCGTTGATCGACTTCTGAGGGATGCGCCATGCATTGGACTTCATTAAGCATCGTTGGAGGTGACTGAATGCATATCTGGATGACTCGTGGTGGCGTACCTATGCATCCAACTAGTGCTGCTATCTTCCTATACAGATCGAGTACCAATTTGCTGACCCCGGAGGGATGGAGGGCTTGGTGAGCCTGGAACGCTGGGATCCATCCGTGTTTATTTCAGAGCGCCTTCGACCACTGCGTTACGCGCGGCTATCACGATATGCAGCAAAAGTTCCTGCATTTGAAAAACCAACAAAGAAATAAAATTTGGGCTCGAAGACGTCATCAACAACTTCGACTTTTTCTGGAGAGTGATAAAAGTGCTTGGTTGGATTGCTTGTTTGCAAATGGTGCCCTAGTTTTCAGAAGCTTACGGAGCAACAGGAAAATATTACCTGCAGAAAATGCCTCTTGGTTTCCTTCAGGGTTATTTTTGGCCGCGTATAAGTTATGTATTATCAGATCGTTGCAAATGTTTCAAATCCGTTACCGCTTCGCTATCACTTTTTTTGGCGTACCCATGTGAGTGTCGCCCCCTAACGGTTTATAACCTCATTGTGACTGGGAGGTGTTCTTGGGTGTCGGGTTGCGATGTACGGCGGGGTGATTCATCCCTCGACCAAGGTCTCCCAAGCTGGGAAAGAGTCTGACGTTTCCATTATTAGGAAGCCCAGCTAAGAATAAACCAATACCAGGATCCACCACCGTTTTGCAATCAAACTAGTCGCATGGTGGAAAATCTCCCTTTGATCCACAGAGTCGGCGGACTGCATGTGGCGGTGACGACCTGGGGCAGACTTTGGCTCCGCCGACTTCGGGACTACAGAGAACCACAATGGCTAAACCAACAAATCTCCGAAAAGTGGAGATTATGTTGAGGCTCACCCAACCATTGAGGACCTGCCATCCAAGTATCCAAGTAACTATGGGGGTGTCGAGTGTTGACCATCATCAAGACATTTCTGAGAAACATTCGCTTTTTGAATCCTTAGCTTAATATTTCTGTTATAGTTTTACCACACAACATTTGTGATATCTGTTTCATTATCTTTCAGCGCATCTGTCCTGTTGCTTGTACCTGACAATACTCGGTCTCATCCTCACTTGCTCTCTGCTATTCTTAGGAGATACAAGCCAACTTTCGTCCAGGTCTATTCGCTGTCATCGATGTTTCGAATTGTGCAAAACTCGTTCACTTCAGCTTACTCCTTCCGTCTTGGCTCTTCTGGACGATACCACCCTATCATGGATTCTTGGCGATTGTTCACCAATTCGATGCCTTCTTATCGGTATCTAACTGTTGTTTCAAAATCTTTGAAATCGTTTATAGCAGTGAGGCAGGATATGTGGAATAACTAAAATCTTTAGGAGGGGAAAAGTTTCCTCTGAATTTGGTAAAACGATATCGCACTTCTTCAAATCCAACCAGAGTTTTTAATGTTTACGGATTAACTGAGGTCTCATGCTGGGCTACTGTCTCCGAAGTTTTTTATAAGTTCGTAAAGTTTGAATATTTTTCTGAGAAGTTTCATATGACAGAAGGTACTAAGGATAGGACATGAATAGGTTCTGTTGCTTGGTTCTAGGAGCAAACAAATAGGAATTGGCACGCCGTTGAAGTGTACGTTATTATCAGTAACTCAGGACAGTGAACTCTTAATAGGTCAGTTCTAGTTATGATTTTCGTTTTCAGTATCCACCTCGCTATCCATATAGATCTGGGTTATAGGCGGAACAAGGCAATGCTTTATCAGTGGAGTACTTAGTGAAGAGTTCACGGCTACTGGAGATGTGGTTGAAGTAATCGAGAACGAATTTTTCATTATTGGGAGAACCGATGACCAGGTAGCAAATTTACCAGCTGCGTGTAAAAAGTGGCTTAGAAGTGCGAAGGAAGTAGTTCCATTACCATTGGAGAATTTGTGCTCGTTTTTTGATCTTGTCTTTTAGAAAATTCAACGAATATTTTAAATATCGACCTTCCTTTGACTTTGCCATTACAATTCAAAATCTATTTACTAGTGACCAAGCATGTACCAACATGTAATACAAGTCCAAAGGATGTTTTTTTTCGTGGTCAGAACTAGGTGAAACACTAAATAAAACTTTCTTCTTGTCGATAACCTCGGCATTGTTCTTAGTCATCATTTAGGTCAAGGTTAACGGCACTCGATGTAACCTTGCAGAACTATCAACGCGGGTTGCATCTTTAAATGGAGTGACCTTCGCCCAATTTTTACTCTACAAAGAGAAGTTCTTGGTTTTGTTCGTGTTGTCAAACTCACCATTGGAAGCTTCAATGAGGGATATTATTCCCGAAGCTTTCATCCCCTCGAAGGTGGTATATCTAGATAGAGTACCTGTGAATTCAAATGGTGGGTATCTCTCCTATGCAATCTTTATATTTTATACTGCTGTGCTATCCAGTGCACTGATTCCAGGAAAAGCTGATCGATCACAAATGGTTGCATTGTTGGAGAAGCAGTGCTCTAAGCTGATGAATTCTCAAAGCGATATGCTTTTGTTCCTTAACAAGTTTGGTATAAAATCTGCGATGGATTTGTCAAGCCATTCGTTCGTCGATTTCGGTATTCCGTAGCTTCCATAGTGAAACAACTGTTTTCTTCACCTGATGTGAAATACCGTGATTTTTGGGATCGGCTCGGCCGAAGCGGCAGAGATCGCCTTGCATTTGGGCCACGTGGAGGCTTTACACGACATTTTGACTCCTCACATATCTATAGCTGAAGTTCTTCAAAAGTATAAGGCTGGAATGCTTGACGTCCCTGGTAAGGCTTGTTAAATGGTTCACTTTCCTACTAATTTTTTTAGTCTATATTGTCGTAAATGAAGAGCTTTTCTAAGGTTATTTACCAACCAAACAAATACTGAGATATGAGCAAAACTCCCGCAAAGAGTGAGCGCAGGTTAGAAGTGCACCGGAGGTTCTGAGTTTTGCTCATATATCAGCATTCCATGGAAGAAGAATGGACAGTAGATAAAAGGTGAAAGATTGTGGTTATTTATAAGTTCTATTGTGCAGAAGTACGGCATACCGTCCCATTCAAGGAGATATTCGTCGCCATAGGAATGCAACCGATTGTCAAGTGGGCTTGTAACACTGGGAAGTGTATAGATGGCACACCACTACATATAACGTTGGTTGAAAACGGATATAGAGCAATGTATTAGTGGAAACACCGACGTCAGAATTTTTAGATCGCTTGACAAAGATGTAATTGTGGTCTGTTCCCATTCTGGGGTTGTTGCGTGTATTCGTGCGGAAGACGGTTATTGTATTTGGGAAGTGAGTGCTCACACCGCAAAACAACTGCTTTTTCGAAACGTTTTGATATTTTTACTGGTTTTAGGTTAATCTGTCGTGCCGGTTTGAGGCTTCACCAGAGCTTTGTGGGCAATATATTGCTGTAGGTTCGTTCAGCATCACAATCATGTATTCTTTCTTTTCGCGACCGATTGATATTTAGCGCTGGTGTTCAGTTGTAATATTTTGACCACAACGATCCTGGGATATTCGCAAAGCCTGGATCCCGGACCAGATCGAACAATGATTACCCTTTCCGGGGTTCGCGTATTACACACAGCACCACGAGGGCCTTTGCTTTGCGTTTCTCTCAGCTAGTTTTCTACCTAACGCTTCCATCAGCAATCACCTGTTAGCGGGATTGATGGTGCAGTCTGTAATATGCGAAGTTTCGCAAAGGGTAGTTGCGGTTCGATCTGGCACGCGGACCAAGTTTTGTGAATATCTCAGCATCATTGTAGTTGTCTTTCACATCGCACCCTACCGTGAAAAACTATAGTAAGCAGCAAATAAAAGGTTAACATTATGGCATTTTATTTTTCTTCTTTTGTAAAAACTATATTTACTCATAATTATTGCTCAAGGCATCCACACTTTCTGTACGAAGTGATTCTGTTTAGCATCTACAATTTCAGGTGGTTTCGATGGAAATGTATATTTCCTATCAGTGGATACCGGGTATATCGAATGGCGCTTTGCCACTGGTGATATTGTAAAAGCATCTTGTGCCGTCGACGATGCCAGTTGTGCATATGTTCTTTCGTATGATCGAAATCTTTACAAACTAAATCCACAGGTGGGATACGTTCCAGTTACTTATTAAAGTAGAACTTCACCATAATTTAGCTCGCCATGAATGTTTTCGTATACAGTTTCAGAACATAGTGCTCTTAATTTTAGCTCAAAAAGTGCTGCTGGCGTAGCCCAGTTCAAAGCGGTTCTTCTGCAAAAGCTGTTTTGTGGGAAAATATAGTCTTTGTAACAACTATAAGTGGCAGTCTGGAAGCAATGGATGCTGTTAGTATGAGAGTTTATGCTCTTAATAAAATGATAGTGTGCTTAAAAGTTGTTTTGATTTTTATTCAATTATGAAGTACGAAGATACATAGGTGGACGGGATGCAGCTGTGGCTCTATCGAGGCGAAGCTCCAGTGTTCTCATCTGTGACGATCCATGATTCAATGTGTTTTATCTCTTCAGTTGATGGAACGATTGTTAAACTCAGATGGACTCATGGCAAAAAAGTTGGAGTTTGCTTTTGCTCAGATTTTGAGACAACACTTTTTTATAGTATACGTTTTGCAGCAGCTTGCCGTCAACGTGCGAGAACCCATCTTCGCTTCCGTTTCCGTCATAGGTGGTCTCATTTATGTCGTATCTCAAAGTGGATCCCTGTTCATTGCAGATCAAGAACTTTCAATATTGCGACGTTCTCGATTTCTGAATTGCTCCTTTGTAGTACCAGCATGCCGCATAAAGGACTATGTTTTATCCCTTGTGTCCTCCAATGGTCTTTTCATTTTATTTTCGGAAAACGAAAGTAAAGCATGGGGTTTTCGGTTAGGAGCGGGTCAAGTTTATTCACGTGTCCTCATATGTCAGGAGAAGCAGTACTTATTTACCGGATGCAGAGATAATTGGATACGCTGTTTCAAATGGCCTGAACTTCCTCGCCTGTTGGAGTGAGTTTTTTGTGTACCTACTGGGTTTATAGTGTATGAGTCAGCTCTCTTCATGGCTTTGTTTCCGTTGTGTAAATCTCATATGTTATAGAATCTCCAATAAATATTTTATCGATTGCAGAAGTTAATGTGATTTGTGATTGCTATTTCTATTAAACCACGTTTTGTTTCTCATTCTCTGATTTTTGATCGTCGAAGTGTTTCGGAACATCATGGTGCAGCGTTTGAAGAATAAGTTTTGTTGAGTTCCCAACTGAAATGAGTGACGTGACTTCTTCAAGTCATTGAAGTGAGGGAAGTGCCATCTTGTGCTTTTGAAATACATTAATGAGTTCCATTAGTGTTTGGATATGGTTCATCGTGCTGGAAATCTTTGGAAGCCATGGCTGTTCGTATAGTTATCCTTGGTTCTAGTTTCAGCAGCTCACGATGACAATATGTGGGAAGATTTTCTACACGTATTGTGTGGGCCCAAGCACATTCTCCACTTGCTTCATGCTCTTGCGATGGTTGTCCATGATGACAGGCTTGTAGGTGGGATCACTGTCGTGTATTTGAACTGCGCAGTTAAGCTGACTATGTATACTTGCATACATGGATGACCCGTCTTCACTTCTTTTACGGGCCGCAGCATAATTTCTATTTTTTTTTGAGTTTTGTTGGCTTAGCTCTTGTGGTTTTCTGGAGTCCCGACGTCAACTAGGCTAAAGTCTGCTCCAGCTCGACGCCTTTGTGGATGAGAGGGAGGTTTGCCACTTTGCGATTAGTTTTGATACCAGGAAAGTGGTGGACCCCTGATATTGGTTTACTCTTGGCTGGACTTGCCGATGGAAACGCCGGACTCCTTCTCAGCTTGGGAGAGCCTACCGATGCGATGGATCCCTCCGCCGTGCATCGCAGCTCGACACTCAGGAAGACTTCCCAGCCACGATGAGGCGGTAAACCATTGGTAGGACCTATGTGTACCGGTTATATTTTTGCGACATAATTCACTGTGAATATTGCGTGGAATTCTCGACATGACTGAGGGCTCAGTCTATGTCGTGTTACACAGTTGAGTGAACTGTGTGTGGGTGATACTCAAGAAAGTGAGCGTGGAGTTCTATGTTGGTCAGTGGTTTGTTTCTCTGAGGGGTCCGAATGCTGCCAGTCTTTCTTTCTTCTTCACAAGTCCTTCTTCATTTCTTCGTTATAATGCTAAGTGGACGGCTAAGGTGCGTACGGGACTTATCTTCATTTAAGACATCCTTTAACAGTGGACAATCCTACACTATTCCCTCTTTGCTATGATCATTGAGCACTGTTTTAGCCTCAATAGTAAACGCCGAAAACTGACGGTGTTGGTGTACCACGGTTTTGGTGAGAAATTGCGATCAATGAGGATACGTTTTTCTACTTCAGTCCAGTGATCTCATTATCCACTGAATTGGACGACTGAACAGCCTTCATGTGATGATGTCGCTTGATTGGACCCCTTTTCCTGGAGTGGTAATGATTCAATAAAGTAGCTACCTTTTCTTGGTGCCGTTCCGGTGTTGACAAAGCACTGATCTCGTAGCTGACAGTTGTGGACGAGCGCTGATAAGATGGTATTTGTCTCGACGTAGTCAAACGGTTTTCCATAGTCGATGAAGGTCAGAACTAGACGCAGCTTGCACTTCTTACGTAGTTCCGTGTCCCACTTGAGGGTTGTATGTGATTCTTGCACGAGGTTGCTTTTCGGATCCTGCTTGCAGAACGTGTTGAGAGCGACCTAGAGTTCTTGATATGTGTAAAGGGTTGACCTCCACGATAAGTCTAGAGCACGATAATCTAGTGCTTTCTTCTTGAACAGACGCGAGGTTGTTAGTGAAAACGTTTATCCAACACAACACTGGCTGGCGCTACGGCAGATGTCGCCTTCTTCAAAGCCGTTTTCTATGAGTCTTCCACTGAAGATTCCACGTGGAGACCAAATGCAAAGAGGGTTCACATGGAAGAGTTCAGGAGGAACCTCAACAGGAAATGTGAAGTAAGAAGCCTCTTGTTGACGAGTGGGGAACGCCGCTGTGTTCACCTGATATTTAAGTCTAATAATGTCCAGAGTGGGTGCTGGGCGCTCCTTGTCCTCTAAGGTAGCACAACGGACTTCGGGGGAAAGAAAAGAAGGGAAGTTGGCCCGAATATCCGTATGTGGAGTCAAGTGGACGTGACTGTCGAAGAAATCGATGGTGTTCTCCATGGTCTTCACGCATTGGCTTACTGGACCAGGACAACAGAGAGTATTCGTCTTTGTCTCATGTCATAGTTGCTAGAGCCTGGGTAGATGTCGAGAGATTTTCTCTACACGGTCCTATCCGCGTTGAAGTGGTCGGACTTCAACCCGCAGTTCCCCAGGAAACAGGGTGTTCCTTGGTAGATTGTCAATGAAAATAGTTCATTTCTTCGGTGACAATCCGTCCTGCAGCAGTTGGGTTCGCATTCGGACAATAAAGCGAGGCAGCAAAGACGGTATGCGGTCTTCAAGATTGTTCAGATTCAGAAAGTCAGAGAGAAGATTCACAGTGGCAGTAATATCGCTGTACGGAATCATCGAGAGGGATAGCCCGTTGTATCGGCCAGCACCCCGGTAAACCTCCATGGAGGTCTGCGCCCCCGACCGCACCATTGGCCACCGATTCCGCACCATCGAACGATGAACTCGGGATGCGAACGGAGACGAGGACACTCCGGTCGCAGCCGATACCTCGATTCCAGATGTGCTTCGAGTTCTCCGAAACTCTTTAGCCTTCCTAATATGAGCTTTCTTTCCTTTTTCCTGCTTTCATCATTTTTTTTTCTGGTATTGGTCATTGCTAATGCTATACTAACGGCAGCTTTGACACTGAAATTCTCGTGAAGTTTTACGGTATAAATTTAGTGCATGGCTGCGCTCTTTCCAACGTTATTCTCTTTTGTTAAGACCTTTATGCATGGGTTCGATAAAGAGAGCTTCGATAGGGAGGTCTGTCGTGATTTCGACAGTCAGGAAATCACGTCGGCCATTGCGCGCTACGAACGTGAAGCCTCCGCTCTCCTAAATGATGTGGGTTGTGTTGTTGGTTATTTCATGCATTACATTGGAAATGCCCCAAGCTTTTCCCTTAAGATGAGATAACAATACTATTATGCAGTAATGTTTGACATTGCTTTTCAGAAGGAGGAAGTACGGAGACTCATCACCTACATCGACCTTACCACACTGGCCGGCGACGACACCAAGAGTCGGGTCGTCGCGCTTACGGACCGAGCCTTAGCTCCAGTTGACGGGGTAGGTTGTGACTTCTCTGTCTCGCTTGCTAGTTACTTGCCCAAAAAAATAGCACAAGTGCAATATTTCGATGATTTTTAGCTAAACCAAACTCGGCTTCGTTCAGTATTTCCCGATGTCTAGTTTCTTAAAGGCGGCGAATTTACTACCAAAGTTTTGCACTGGGACTCACTGGGACTTCAAAGCATCCTTCTATCATGCGCTGTTTTTCCAAAGCGTCGACAGTGTTCATGTCGAATTTCTCGTCATTGATGACGGGATAGGGCTTTTTCTGACTTGGAAATTCAAAGCTACTGTGGTTTTGCTTATTTGTGTGGCTTGTTCTCACCAAGTCATAGAGACCACAGTGCAGTTTCCATTCTGACGACGTGTAGTTGCTCTAGTTTTTGTTTTCACAAGGCTCCGAGACAGCTATGACAGTTTTCTCCTACTTCCATATGAAACATTGTGAAAATAGAGACATTTTATGAAATATGAATGGGATTCTATATGTAGTGCATGTTCCTAGTTGTATCTCTGAACTGTAACAAGACGAAACTCATTCATAGGACTCATCGATCAGCTGCGCTGCCGTATGTGTCTATCCACAACGTGTCTCGGATGTGGTGAAGCATCTTGCCGAGAGGAAGAAGAAGCTAAATGTTGCCTCTGGTATGTGCGTATTTCCATTTCGTGATTCTTCTGTTCTGATTTCATGTCTTGACTCAGTCATGCTTTCGGGGTCGTAATATTTCGCAAGAACGTGTCTTTTCAGTAGCCGCTGGTTTTCCGTCTGGGCAGTACCATTTGCAGTCTAAGCTCTTGGAAGTACAACTGACTGTTGCCGACGGTGCGACAGAGATCGACATTGTCATCAGTCGCGCTGCTGCTCTCGATGATGACTGGGAAAGTGGGTTAAGTTTTAAACAAGTTTTATGTGTTAATCGTTTATTTAAATACAAAGACTTCCCTTTTCTTTTTTTCCTTATTTTTCTTTATTTCACTTCCCTTTCCATTTAACATTCTTCCCAACGGTTTACCGCCTCATCGTGGCTGGGAGGTGTTCCTGGGTGTCGGGCTACGATGTACAGCGGCGGAATCATCCGTTGGCAGGGTCTTCTAAGCTGAGTCCAGCGTTTCCACCAGGAAGCATAGCGAAGAGTAATTCCCAATGTCAGGATCCACTAGCCTTCCTGGTATCAAACTAGTCGGATGGTGACAAATCTTCCTCTGATCCACAAAGGCGGCGACTGCTTGTGGTGGTGACGACTTGGGGCAGACTTTGGCCAGGGTGAGTTCAGGATTCCAGATTCCAGAGAACCACAATGCGTAGACCTGGAAAACTCCGGAAAATAAAACGGGAATTATGTTTGGGCTCGCACAGCGAGGGCTGTCCAAATATCTAAGTTCTATATGACGTTCACTTCACCGGTGCTCACGAATTGTCGAGAAGCGAGCGTTTACCGATTTCATTTGTTTGATACACGGTTTACTGTGGTTATAATTTAGCTGTGTGCAGTGAAGTGTCAGCCTTGAGGAGGGCTTGTGGTAGTGCACACTTGAAGACGATTTTAGCTACTGGAGAACTAAGAACTTTGTCAAATGTCTATAAAGCGAGTTGGGCAAGCATCTTAGCAGGTATATCTGCCCAAAACATTGTCTCATCAAGGTTCATTCCACAGATTTCCATTTCTTCTTTAAAGGGTCCGATTTCATTAAAACTTCTACGGGAAAGGAGACAGTAAATGCTACGCTCGAAGTCGCGTTCGTGATGTGTTCGGCAATCAAGCGATGGTATCAAGTCACCGGGAAAAGGGTGCGCTACTTTGGCTTAATAATATTATTCCCACTATGGATCACAATTTTAAATCATTCTTTGTTAGGTTGGGTTCAAACCCGCTGGAGGAATCAGGACGCCCAAAGAAGCTCTGGCATATGTCGCGCTCATCAAAGATGTATGTTTTTTCGTTTCAGATTTTGGAGAGTTTTTGTTGACTTAACCGACTTAGGAAAACCGTTAAACACTTATTGTTGTTTGCGCCATATTTGTTGTAGTTAAACAAACTAGGGCGCGTGTGGCGCAGTGGTCGGAGGGCACCATGTGACACACACATAGGACTGATTCTCGCGCCTCCGGCAAATTGGTACCAGATTTGTCTGGGAGGATAGTAACAGTGGCTCGATACATCGGTAGACCACCGCGATTCATTGTAAAAGACCAGATATGCATTCAGTCATCTCCAATAGTACTTAGTGAAGTCTAATGCGTGGCGCATCCCTCAGAGATTGATCTGCGCCGAAAGCTTTATCTTTTTTTTTTCAAACAACTTCTGGAAACTCTTGAGCCTAGTGTTTTTGGGTAATGTATTGATTCTTTTGCTCTAGGATCCGAAAATAGCACGACTTTTAAACTTCAAATAAACTTGTTTCGGCTCATATAGGGTCTATTATTTGAAATAAAAGGTGGCGGATAGGGCGGTGGTTGTGATGCCGATCATCATGAGCGCGGTACTAGGTCGACCCCTCCCTGGGTTCATCAAACTTTTCATCCCTCGAGGTGGAGAAATTTCTGCTACACTTATCTGGGAAAAGTCAACTCTCTGTAATCCAAGTTGGAACGCTCCAGCGCGGCTTCCTCAGGACTTCATGGAGAATAAACTCAATCAGTTTTCAACAACACTCATAACGAAAGGAAAGTTTTCGAGCAGTAGCCGAATCTATGCGCAAAAATTGGGGGACCTTCGTGGAAGATGGAAGCGGGCGAATCAGTCGAATGGAAGAAGTGCTGGGGTCCGCGCAGTACATGTTAAGGAAGGGGTCGCATGAAAGAATTGAAACTGCTGCCAACGTTATACAAGTCCGCAAGTGAAATTGTAATTCTCTGGAGCTTGATGCGTGTTTTTTGTCATCTTTACTTGAATTTCAAGCAATATAGCGGCAGCGGTCCAGTAAGGAGGGAACGTTAGTTTTCGCGAATATTAGTGATTGCAATGTGTCAGAAGTTTTCGAAATAGTTCGTCGTACTAGTAGTATTCAAAACGGTTTACCGTCTCATCATGGCTGGGAGATGTTACGGGTGCCGGGCTGCGATGTACAACGTGGATTTCATCACTCCAGCGAGGTCTCCCAAGCTAAGGAGTCAGACGTTTTCATTAGGAAGACCAGCTAAGAGTAAACCGATACCAGGATCCATCACCGTCCTGGTATCAAACTAGTCGCATGGTGGTAACTTTTCCTCTGATCCACAAAGTGCTGCGACTGCCTGTAGTGGTGACGTGGGGCAGACTTTGGTTAGGTTGACCTTGGGACTATAGGAAACCACTACAGTTATACCAGCAAAACTCCGAAAAAAATGGAAATTTTGCTGTGGCTCGCACCACCAGCGAAAAGGGGCCACCCAAGTATCCAAGTGAGTAGGTAGTATTCAAGTCTCGAAAAACCTGAAATTTGTTCAATATTTTTGAAAATTTTTAACTCCTAGGTAGACAGGGCAATTTTTTTATCCGTATCCGTGGAAAAGCCAGGTTCGTCTCGAGTATGTTGGGCAAATAACGTAAGCACTCCAACATTTGCACTTCATCTTGAGCGAACTTTTTTTCCGTGTTCTACAGGCATAACGTTGTTTTTTGGTGATGCAATAGCGCGTCAGCACGCTGATAGCTTTCGTCTTCTGAGAGATACATTGAAGCGGGAAAAACATAACGGTCTCCAAGTTTGGTTTTCCAAAGCATGGTATTCGTTCTATTCCTCATCACTGTCCATCATAATGTCATAATGAGTGTGGAGCAAGGGTAGCCCCATACTGGGCAATCAAGCGGCAGGCCCGCTCTCCCACCTGCCCATCCATTTCCTCCATCTCTCAGTTTTTTCGTATCGGAGAATTCGTACCGAGTTTGTCTGGATTCAGCTTACTTATTCGAATTTACAAAAGCTGGCGACTGAGTGAGGTGAAGATCTGGGAACCTCCTAGCGCGGCTGTTAGGAGTGCTCCACGAAGAAATCCAACTTTCAGCGGCTATAGTTCTCGTTTGTTTATGCTCAGAGATGTTCTTCTTTCATACATTGCGAGTCAGCCAAGATCTCTTCTTACTTACTTGGATATTTGGATCGCTTTTCACTGGTTATGCGGACCCCAGAATAATCTCCATTTTTTCGGAGATTTGCCGGTTTAGCCACTGTGGTTCTCTGGAGTCTCGAAGTAAGCCTGGCCAAAGTCTACTCCAGGTCGTCACCACCACAGACAGTCGCCGCTCTTGTCGATCAGAGAGAGATTTGCCACCATGTGACTAGTTTCATACCAGAACGGTAGTGGATTCTGATATTGGTTCACTGTTAGCTGGGTTTCCTGATGTAAACGCCGTACTCCTTAGCCTTGGAGACCGTGCTGGAGGATTTGGGAGGAAGACCTCTTCAGTTTTTGCAATTTCTGATGCAACGAATACCACTTCGTAAGGAAAGCAGAGCTGTGTCCATTGTTCAACCATTATATCTTTTTGTTCTGGTAATTTCCACAGACTCAAAACCTTTGATAAAACTACTTATCCGATCCATCTCCACGTTATGTTATAGATGGTCCGTGTGTTAATCGCATGACTGTTTTCTTTGTAATCCAAACTGTCATAGGATTTCCGAGTCGCATTAAGACTGCAGTGGTCCACATGTTAATTTTTTAGCATTCACTTACAACGACTGTATATTGGTTATTTTTGTAAAACGGCTATCACAGGCAAAGGTCCACTACTCGTTAAAAAGTGTTGGGATAGCCTAGTGATATTTGTAATTGCAGCAACCGTAATTTTTTTTCTTGGCAGCGACTTTGTAATTCCTTTTACAGATTTTGGGACCGAGTTGGTTGACTCCAGAATTGTTCCGAATCGGTGCGAGCAGTTTGCTAGATAGTTGTCTGAAGGCTCTTTGAAATGTCTTTACTTAGGTTACATACTTTGTATACTTTCTCTTTGAGTGGGTTTATTCTGTGATTGTGTTCTATGGCATTGTTCTTGTTTTCATAATTGCAATCTATATTTAGCACTTCTCAGGAATCACTATTTACCTACTTAACAGTGCGATTTGCTCAGAGGATGGTCAGATTGTCCAGTGATTTTACGGATAGCAAATGATAACTTATCTTTCAAGGAATCTTGTTACTGTATTTGGTCGCATTTACTTGGGAAGTTGCAGTTTTATATGTTGAATAAAAGATAGTTACACTGCTATTTGTGGAGAAGCATGTATAACACATGTTAGTGCAACGTTTATGTCGTCCTCTTATCGCATGTAGAAGAGTCTCCACAGTTTGTTAACAAAGTGATTGACAGTGATAAAACGAAAAATTCTCTCCCAGGTGAATATCCCGAACTATGCGAGTAACATTCCTTCATCCAGACCTGGGTATCGGTGGTGCTGAACGCCTTATTGTAGATGCAGCTTTAGCACTTCAGAGAAAAGGCCATCAAATAAGGGTCGTCACAAATCACTTTGACTCTGCTCATGCGTTTAAAGAGACGCAAGGCTTAGGTGAGCTCGTTTCCATTCGCGACTATTTCCTGGTACAGTACTTAGTTTTCAGATATCACGGTGATCCAGTGGTTTCCTCGTCTTATATTTGGTTATATGTGGGCTCTGTGCGCGTACATTAGAATGTGCCTTGCCGCAATATACGTCTGCATGTTTGTCGAGAATGACGTTATCATCTGTGACCAGGTTCGCATCCTGTTCTGGTTTTTGAGGACGATCATGGGCGCACATAGCGTAGTGGTCGGAGTGGCCGTGCAATGCACAAAGGATCGATCTGCGCCCCAAGAGTCAGCAAGCCTTCCATCCCTCCAGGGTCGGCAAATTGCTACCAGCCTTGTCTGAGAGGATAGCAGTACTGACTTGATGCACCGATAGACCATCGCGAGTCATTGTAAAGACCAAATAAGTATTCAATCGCCTATAAACGATGCTTGATGAAGTCTAATGCATGGCGCATCCCTCAGGAATTGATCAGTTCCGAGAGCTTTATCCTTTAAGGTGATCACTGAGATAAGATTTCCGTTAAAGCTTCGTACTTTTCATTTGAGGTCTCGGCTGCACTCGTTGTATTGCGTCTGTTCTCTCGTTCACGTCTCGTATTCTACTGTCATTTTCCAGATATGCTACTGACAACTAGAAATTCAGTGTTGAAATCTTTCTATAGGTGGGTACTCATCCCCTTATGTCTCGAACAATCTAAATGGTCCCAATTCTGCTCACGTCTTTTTCTAGATCGCTTCTCAATTTAGGCGGTTCCTTGATGCCATTGAAGAATACTCAACTGGTCTGGCCGATGTTATCTGTGTGAATAGTTCATTTACAGCTTCTGTAGTCAAGGAAACCTTCACTACACTTCGAAGTCGGGAGCTAACAGGTTATTAAAAGGGTTTGTAGCAATATACAGAATCTTGTCTTTTTTGCTGCTAAGTCACCTAACTAACAGTGCCCCTACTTTGAATGATAGAAGTGTTCTTTCATGTCATACAAATGGTCGGAACATTTGATGCGTATTTAGAAAATGTCAATATGTCTCTGTTAAAAAGATCGACTTTCTGTAAACCTCGGCATAGTATTCCATATATCTGCGTATGTGTTCTTACGGACTGACCTTGTTTCTAGCCGACGCGAGGTTGGTATAATGTTGTTATTGTCGCTGCTATCTTTGTCCAACATTGCTTGACGTTTCGGCGAATTCTTCCTCAGAGCCTGGACGTATCATATGTAACCGTAGGCCCACAAGTCTCGGTGGATTGGTGTGATACGTCCAGGCTCTGAGGAAGGCGAAGTCGCTGAAACGTCAGCCAGTTTGAACGAAGACAGCAGCAACAATAAGATCATCTATACCAACCTCGCGTCGGGAAAGAAAAAGTGCAGTTTGTAAGAACATATGTGCAGATGCCTCTGTGTTCACTCATACCTTTTTTCCAGTCTTGTACCCCACACTGAATACTGAATTTTTCGACAAAACTAAGGAATGCGAAGTTTCTGATACACTGTCAACGCCTGAACACATTTTCACTTCACTGAACCGGTTTGAGGTTAAAAAAAATGTGAAGCTTGCCCTTGAAGCATTTGGTGGGTTTTCTGTTGAACATTATCAAATTCACGTCTCTACTTGATTGTTCTAGCGGAACTGCGCACAATGTTGTCAGAAAAAGAGTTTTCGTCTTGCCACCTTGTTGTGGCTGGTGGATACGACCGATTGAACTTCGAAAACATTACTCACTACAATGAGCTCGTTGATTTTGTAGATGTTCTTGGTCTCAAAAATAACCAAGTGACTTTCTTGCGTTCACCAAGTGAGTCTGCTTTCTTCGAAATAATGTGGTATACGTCGATTCTAGGTTCTAAAAACAAAAAAGATACTTGTTACTATTATATTTGCTACTTTACTCTGTTGTTATCGTCACCGATACATTCCATCTCTTAGTTTTTATATTTTGGAGCAAAAGCCGTCATAAAAGCTACCATTATTTCACAAGAATTTCTGTAATCAGCCATATTCACGACTGCACACTGACCGTTGTGGTAAACGAATAATTGGGTCTGCCAAAAGAAACGGATTTACTTCTTATCTTAAAACCGATTTTCATTAGCATCTACTTCGTCTATTTCGTATTAAAGAGAACTTTGAGGTGTTCAATTTCCATTTCGAGTAGTCCGTACACAGGGCAGAAGTGATAGCGAATTGTCTCCCACCACAAGAACCATACTAAAATCTTTTAGATGGACACATTGGCACAAGTTGAGCGATAAATATTACAACTCCGTTGAACGTTTTGAAAGTGTTAAGTGCATAATTTAACACAAAGTTCTCGGTCTTGGTCATTCTCTGAGGGATGCACCATGCATTCGACTTTATTAAGCATCGTTGAAGGTGAATGAACGCATATCTGGCCTTTACAATGATTCGCAATGGCCAACCGATGTATCGATCCATGGCCGCTATCCTCCCAGATCAATATGGGACCAATTTGCCAACCCCGGGGGAATGGAAGGCTTGCTGGGCCATGGACGCAGAGACCGATCTCATGTACATTTCAGGATGCCTCCGACTACAGCGCTAAACGAACCCTTATAATTTAACATATGACTATATATAGATGGTGGTTATCCAAGCATACTAATATGATAATATGATCTCGCATATCAGCTTCATTGTAGATATACTTTGCAGCTGATGAACAGAAGGTTTCGTTGTTACGACGCAGTCGCGCGGTGCTCTATACACCACACAACGAGCACTTTGGTATTGTACCAATTGAAGCAATGTACTTGGGAACTCCCGTGATCGCAGTGGACTCTGGAGGTTTTGCTTTTAATTTGAATTTTACGCTATAAAAAATAGCCTACAACGAACTAGAAATTCAAAACGTTTTCCAATAAAACGTGAATGCTATGTTGAATTCGGTCTCTGTGACGTCAGACGATGTCAGTCGTCAGCAATCGATGACGCAATGTTATTTATGAACGATTACACTTACAGGTCCAAGGGAGTCTATAATTCACGGCGAGACAGGATTCTTGGCAAAATACACACCACAAGAGTTCGCAAAGTACATGTTTACTATCATGCGAGACGAGAATTTAAGGCGGAGAATCAGCGAGAACGTAAGGAGCGGTTTTTCTTCTTCTTGAAATATAAGACACTGGATAACGGGTGAAATTTAAGTGTGTCCAAAACAACAAGTACGATGAAATATAACCAAGACTCGGAACCTCAGTTGAATTTGGAAGCCGCAACTACCCTTACGGGGGCCCGTCGGTGCTATAGCCAATCATCTGTCAACCTGAATGACCTGGGGATAGCATTGATAAAGTAAAATCGTAGCCGAAAGGACCACCGAAAGGATCAAGGGCCACCGTTGACTTGGTCGATCGCACGTGAATCCCTCGCAAAGTTAATCGCAGGTTCGAAGTCCAGCTAAGGTCCCGAGTTTTGCTCAAATCTCATCATCCCTATAGTTCTGCTTCACATCAGACTCTTCCATTAAAAAAAAGAATAGGCAGTAAACGAAATGTTAGGGCATTTGATGTCGAAAACATTTACTGGAAAAAGTTTCCAGTCTAGAAATGCATGCTTTAACAACATTTGTCACGTTTTATGATTATGCCGCAATTAATTGACCTTTCAGTGAGACAATTATGAGACAAAGGTAACCTGATGGATTGAATTGTTACTAAAACCATATATGACTATGATTGTGAATTATAACTGGTTGTGGAGACATTTCAGGGACAAAAAAGAGTTCGGGAGTTTTTCGCCTTTGACGCGTTTTCCAATCGTCTCGATCGCATAATCAGAGGTCAAAGACACTGACCACCGCTCTTTCCTCTGATCGACTTGCTGTGATAATATGTGATTTCCGTTTTGTTTTCTTTTTCCAGGTTTAATAAACTTTTAATTTCTGATGTTCAATATTCGTATACAGTAAAGCTACTTTTTACGTACTTCCATGCAGCGGTTGTGATCTGCCCCTCGGTGTTTTTTGGCTGAAGGTGAAGTGAAGGGGCGTGCAATGTCAGCGGGGTTTCGCGGTTAGCGGAGGCAGAGGAGAGGCAAGGTCACTTCGACGCCAGCGCCCGACAATGTCTGCTTGCTTGGGGTGTCCTTCTCTGAAGTTTTGCTCCTGTTTCATTTCGTTCGTTCACAGTTCTACCGGTAATTGTCTCCTCGGTGCAGTTTTGCACTCGATGGAGGTGGTGACTAAGAACTGCTATCGATTGGCATCTTGTACGTGCCAGTTGTGTGTCGCACGAACACTCTGTTATTTATCACTTGCCCCTAAATGATTCAAATTTCACTTTTACTGTCTTATAACTAATTATGCGTCGACACTAGGAATCCATGGTAACGCGTTGTGCGTTAAGTTTTGTCACTGATGAGGAGGTTTTCATCTTGTAGACTAGCCATCCTTTTATGTACCGCTCGAAAATGCTACCAGTAAGTTTTCTCTCGCATACTTCGCTCTGTCTTTCAAACTCTTTAAAGCTGGCCCTTTGGCAATCCAAAATAAGTTAGTGAAAGCTGTTAGTGAAATGTCCATTGAATGTGCTGATGATGTGCTAAAGATCCTCCTTTAGTTCTACTCCTTTGATCGATTGCAACTGTTCCAACTAGTTCCTTTTATACATTCATTTCAAGTTCTTTCTCTACTTCAGATGTCGAAAGCACTGATCGGTAAGCCTGCGCCTGATTTTAACACCAAGGCTGTCTACGGCGGTGATTTTGTGGATGTGAAACTCTCGGACTATAGGGGAAAGTACCTCGTGCTTTTCTTCTACCCAATGGATTTGTAAGTGAAAAACATTCGATTGGGTAATAAAATTGTTTTGGGTGTTATTGATTGCCAGAAGCCCAACGAGTATTACTGTGCTGCTTGTGTAAATGAAATAAAGCGATTTCGAACGAAATAACCTTGAGCAGCATAGTTTCCATAAGCAGTTTGCCGAGAGTAAGATGGAGTAGGTACCCACTGTGACCATTTATCTCATAGGACACCCATAAAGAAGTAAACAGTGCGAATTGCGAATGGGTACCAATTATTGGGGAACCTGTTACGTGCAGTAGTGAGCTCTGTTTTGCTGCCCATTTTTTCTATTCAGTTGCTAGTTAATCTATAAATTATGCAAAATTATCAGTACATTCGTGTGTCCGACGGAAATCATCGCGTTTTCGGATCGCTTTGAGGAGTTTAAGAACATCGGCGTATCGGTCCTTGCCTGCTCTACCGACTCAGTTTTTTCTCATCTTGCTTGGATCAACACTGTAAGTCTGGATATAATTTGCGTTTCCTTCTCGTCAGTTTCACTTTTTCCAGCCCCGGAAGCACGGTGGTTTGGGCGAGATGAAAATTCCAGTCCTTGCCGACACCAACCATCAGATTGCCAAGGACTATGGTGTGCTGAAGGACGATGAGGGAATTGCCTACAGAGGTATGTACTAAATGGATCTACATAGGTTTTTTAAACTCATCTCACTTTAGATGCATGTTTGCTAATGTCAGTCACGGTTTTAGGTCTTTTCATCATTGATCCGAAGGGAATCCTTCGTCAGATCACTGTCAACGACTTGCCTGTTGGTCGTTCTGTCGATGAGACTCTTCGTCTTGTTCAAGCCTTCCAGTTTGTTGATAAGGTCACTTTCTCATTCGTTGGAAGTTGCATAACTTTGAAGTTAACCAGTGCTCTGATTTGAGGTCATTTCTGCGCTTTTAGCATGGTGAAGTTTGCCCCGCAGGTTGGACTCCTGGGAAAGAAACAATCAAGCCAGGTGTTGAAAACAGTAAGGAGTACTTTAACAAAGTAAATTAACCTTCGTCAATCGAATTTGTCATCGTTTTTTAATTTGACACATTCTTACAATTTGTAGTAATTATTGATTGAAATGGTTTAAAAATGCTTAGTGTTCAGTGTATCGTATCGTTATGAATGTTCGTTTGGAACTACTTGATAAATGTTGCTACCTTCTTGAGTGCTGGTGGAACTTCGAAATCAAAGAAAACGGACAACTTGTGGGGTGTAGTCATTGATTGATGACCACACAGTGATACTTTGAGCGTCACTGCAGTTTGCCCTCTGTCATCCGTACTACATGCATCCGTAGCTTTCTTTTCTAGAGCTGTACGGGAATGAGGCCGGGGAGGAGGGATCCGCACGAGGAAATCGCTCAAAAGTGCATTTTAAGCGAGAAAAACGCAAAAAACGACTGCTCAGCCTCAAAGAGTAGGCAGTAAATAATAAGTTAAAATCAGACAGAAAAGTTGACATCTACATGGATGAATCGAAATAGTAAATCAATAGCTGGGATGATAGTCATCATGGCAACAAAGTAGTTGTAAAGTGGAAACACTCCCAAGGTTAAAGATGGCTATAATTGACTTGTAGTGATGCCTATCCTGGTCAGGCCACCTCGAGGCTTCAGAGGAAGCAACAAATAGGTCGTCCATCAATGAGCCAACTTTGATACCCATAGCAGTCCATAATTTCAGCGAGTGATACAAATGCGTCACCTTTTGGGTTTCATAGGAGTGGATATATCTGGTTTAGAACTCTTCATTGATCACGAGCTATCCTTCAGGCCACAAGTAGAATTTCATGTGTTCAAGAGAGCACAAGAATTGGAAACGTTTCACAATTATACGGTGACCTCTTGTAGCCAGTTGATCGATTCGAGATCTTATCACCTCTTTCGGTGGTCCCGTGTATTGCGCCTTCACAGCGATTGTTATCATTAAGTGTTGCTCATCTATAAATAGAGATAGGAACAAACTAAGCGCGCCGAATATTAGGGCGTAGTGACTTGCAACGAAACTCCACGTGTTTGTTATCGGAGATTCCTACGCGAGAATGAGCCGAAAGAGAAATACGAGCAAAAATAGAATAATGAAATGGGGATGGGGACCGTTTTATCGGCTTCCTATCCAAAGCTCACAGTTTCCATAGAAATCGATTGTTCGCAGGAGAAGAAATGCCACTGGACATGGGACATCCACATGAAACCTAAAGCTATCTTCCTTGCTGTGTCAGCCATCGATTCCTTCGAGAATTCAACAAACTGGGGAGGATTTTTGTCACCAAAAAGAAACAAACGTGCGGCGAATGGGGCGCCGTAGCAAAAATATTCTTGAAGTAATATTTTCCCAACACAACTGGTGAACTGACAAAGGTGGGCACCTTATTCCGTCCAAATTTAGGCCACTTAGGAGGATCATGAGTGGCCTCTCCGTACTCGTCCAACCGAATGTTGTCGTATCGGAGGCTCTTTTGGGGTCAGGAGTAGGAAGCCCACTTATTTTGTCTAGTTTCTGATGATGATGATGATGATGATCCTCACGTATACCTTGCTGAGCAGTGAATGTGGAGCTAGATATGCTCATGGGTAGCTCGCCAGTCTATCCCAGAGTAGACGAGGAATTTGTTGGAGACGACTTCTAACCGCCCCGCATGTGCCTCTCAGTTAATTGATAGCTTTCGAATGAAGACTTGTAGAATAGAATCCGATGAACGAGAACATACGGACGACTCATAAACATTTCTCACGCACACAATGAAGGTATGAGTCAGATCCACGCAACAGAAAGAGGAGGGAGTCCATCCTACGGCTCAAAATTCGTCTCAGGGAAGCACTAGGTCGCTTTCCTCTGCGCTAAATCACTCGGGGACGCGCCATGTAGCCTGACGAGGAACCAACTGGGAATCCTTCACTGAGCGAGATCCGTGAAATTTACGTATAGAACATATGTGCAAATAATATGAACAATAACGAAACCAACAAGCAAAGATAATAAAAGAGAAAGAGGGTACACTGACAATGAGAGGGAACCCTCAGTACTAGATTGATGATGTCCAGTTCTATGGAAATCCAACTATTTGTTGAGTAAGAACAGAGGTGGTAGGTGACGAGGAGATGAGTAGAAATGGCTCCGTAACTGAGAAGCATTCCCTATATGCCATCCGGGTGCCACATATGGCGGAAGGGACTAGTCCAACATGATGCAAGCTGCACATGACTGTACTGATCATGAGTTGCCGTGTCCGATGTGGATCAGTAGCGACATATAGTGCACAGAAACATGTCCTATCATGGTACGCACAACCTGGCAGAATCAAAGTCATCCGATCAAGACCGTTTCGCCACTCATGAGAAAAGAACGACAACTTGCAACTGATACAGTATTCCATCCGAATGCGAAGGGATAGCGAACGCTATCTATAAAGGACAAATAAAGAATAAAGCTCTCGGATTTGATCAATCCCTGAGGGATACGCCATCCATTCGACTTCACTGAGCATTGTTAGAGACAGGCGAAACAAAGGACCCGCATGGTGTGGTGGTGAACGCGTTACTCCCCGGAAAGGACAATAGCGCGTTCGTTCCCCACCATAGACACCTGCGGTCCAGAGTTTTGCAAATAACTCAGCAACGTTGTGGTTGTATTGTTAGAGCTGATTGAATGCATAACTGGCCTTTACAGTAACACGCAGTGGCCTATCGATGTACCGAGCCAGTGCTGCTACCCTCCCAGACAAGTCTGGTACCAATTTGCTGATCCCGGAGCGATGGAATGCTTAGTGAGCCTTTGGGGTACGGGAATCGATCCCATGTATATTGCAGGGCGCCTCCAACCACTGCGCTACACGTACCTTAATGATATCTATAGCGTGGAGAATAAGAGTATCTATCTCGTCAGATGTCTTTGGTGGGCAGCAAGCGATATACACAGAAGGGAAAAGGGAAAAACGAACTCTGCCTCACAGTAGGAAGGGACGTCCTCATTTAATACCGGCAAGCCATCGAAGCATAGAAACCTAGATCCTGAAAGAAGGCACAGGCTCAAAGGATCGTCCATCCCATTTTGCTGAGATCCCCTTGAACCTATAGGTTAATTCCAAAGGAAAAATATTTTGACAGTGTTTAGCAGTGTCCAAGGGGATGAGATTAGAACTGATAAGAATAGTTCGGACTACCTGAAGACATTCTGAGGAGTTCACTTGAAATCGCGTACGAGAGAGCCTGAGAGCTTCAGGAGACGTGTATCCCAGTTCTGGCCCGGTGAATCCATCGGTGTAAATTGAAGTTCACAGAAGAAGCACCTATAGAAAATTGAAAGCCTAAACGGCGAAACACTGGTTCAGTTCCACCTGTGAACTATATGGCCAATGGGGTTGGGCAACTTTAAAACTTCACTGCCAGGCCAGCGAAGCGTTTTACTTAGTGGATTGCCGATCAGTTTAACCTTTTTAAACTATGCAGAAACAGAACAGCGTCTAAAATCAGCCAAAAGCAAGTAGATTTTGATAACTAGCTTCCACAGCTTCTCTTAGAAATGCACTGTTGACATCGAAATGGAACATATTTCACTCCTCAAACAACGTTTACTTCATGGAAGGAACCTTTTCGTGAAAAGGTAATCCTGCTCCATTGATGTGATCTGCTCCACAAACGGTCTCATCGCACCGTTGCCTTTGTGCAGTTGGGTGGTGATTTCTGTCCTGTCTACCCTGTGCAGTAGAAAATTAACCCTCTGCGTGGAGCTATTCTGTTCTCTGCGAGATATATTACCTATCAGTGAACACGCAACTACTCGAGTATTGATATTCAGTTAGTTTTAAGTCGTTCGTGGACATCTGTGTTACTTGCATTGCCTCTGTCTTCCGGCACCAACGAGTAACTCCGAACGGGCACGACTGAAATATCCGTTCGTCCATGTCGCACCACTGAAATACCCAGTGGGTTCCGCTGTCTCCAGGAACATACTGGATCATGCTTCTCGTGTGGAACACCTTGTTTTTGTACCTCTTATTTACTGGGAAGTACTAACCTATGACCATCTACATCACCCAGTAGCTCGTCGAGCTTCCTCGATGCATGCGTGGGATTTACTTGCTAGAGGTAACCTCAAACCGTTCAAACCATGTCTCCTATTTAGTATAGCATAGATGGTATGATACAGACGGAGTATTGTTGAATTAACGTAGCGAATGCGATGGCATATACTGAAGCAGGTCCGATATACAAAGAAGATGGAGGTTAATACGGCTCACGAGATGCATGGAGCTCATCCTCTATGTCCACCTGCACCCCAGTGTTCACTACCCGTGCTCTTTACACCACGCTGCTGTAGACCGTGCATCCGTGCAGCCCACTAGGGCAGAGAGCTCTCTTCCGCAGTGAACTGCGATTGACCAGAGCTATTCCAGGATGGTGATCGTAGCCAGAGGTGTGGCTAGTTCAAGGCCATCGACCCACAGAAAAAGCGACCTGACTCGTCACAACCGCAATTTTCCACGATAAGAACGGATCTCTGTGAAAAGGGGAACAGCAGCGACACGTTTGTTGACAAGGCTCTTAAGTTTTCCCGGAGTTCTAAGCACAAGGTGGTCGCAACCTCCTCCATTCACAGTCGAAGTGGTCACTTCTTTGTGCTCAGATCGTGTAGACGATTTTGGGTCAAGAACATTCTTGTGCAATATTCGTGATGAACCATAAAACTGTTTTTGACTAAACCTGTTTGATCGAGTTCTTTTCTCGTTTTTTCTGAAGATATCCTTTACCAAATCAGTAACTTTAGCACTACCGTATCACGCGAGAGAACATCTGCAGGTGCATAGATATTCCTAAAAATCTGTGACAAGTGCGACAGAACTCCTCCATGAACGACGAGAAGACGCGGGCAAGTGATTTGCATCTTCTCTTTTCCTCTGTTCTCACTTTCCTTATGCCACGTTCCCTTTTCTCCTTGCTCTTCTTCCTTCCTCTCTGCCTCTTCCAGATTTCTGTTGTTTTTGTTTTCAGCTAAATGACAGTGCGGACAACGAGCCTGATTTCACATTCTGCAGCGCCGAGCTACCGATGGACTATCGATCCGACTGGATTTGTGAGCTTGCTCTTGAGAATTCCGGTACACTTTCGCTATTCTCGTATGACCAAATACTAGAGAGAAGTCTACATCTGCCTTTTAAGAGCTTTACACACTTTTAGTAAGATTCTCTGACTTCTTGAGAAACTTTATCTTTCCTGTGAAGGGATATCTGAATAGAGTCGATGACTGATGATTGCTTCCTAATGTTTCGTTCTACACTTAGGTCGTATTATGTCTGCAAGTGAATGCGACAATGACTATTTGACCCTCGAAAGTGTTCAATACATCTTCACAGTCTGTGTTCGCCTGCGACTTCCACACGATATACGTTACTTAGCTGTTTTGATTTTTGCAAGGTTGCCTTAACGAGTCAACCCTATAATTGATTGATTTTTAGCCCATCTGCTTTTTTTCTATTCTGTTATAGATTCATGCGAATTCATAGCGTGCAAGTGTTCGGTTTCTTAAGCAGTCTAAGACTGAGTGAAAAGCGTCGACTTCACGAATGGGAAAAAGTAGAAGCCAACCTGTCCAGGTTTGTCCAAAATTGTCGTGGTCACTCTGAGTGACGAAAGTGTCTGTGTATTGCTCAATTTGTTTCGTTTAGACAGACGACTCTTCGGATGCTCTCTTCTATACAGATCGCTTCAAAAGCGCTCAGTTACCATGATGTGAGTTTCTGGGTTTCATTTTTAGCAGCTACACTGGGAAAGATGGCAGTTGTAGAGCTTATCTTCAAAACAAGTGTGCTCTTGCTTGCGTTCACTTGGGTTCGCCTACACACAGCAAGCAGCTTTGAAGTCAGAACTGCGTATCCTGAAGACCTTAAATTTCCGTTTACCCACTTCTCCGCTCCTGTATTCGGAAACTCTTCTGAAGTCTGTTGGTGAGCTATTTTAAGAAACTTTTCCAATCCTAGGGAATTTCTTTGTACGGTGTCATTACTTACGTCATCGTAATCGCTATGTCCTGTTTTTCAGGAATTATTTGTTTGTTCGTAGAAATGAGGATATTTTTAGGATGTTTCTGGCCAGATGTCGACTACAAGTCCATTTGGGAGCATATTTTATTGTTCCTGGATGTGGTTTTCTTGCATCACGATCAGGTATGTTTCCCTTTAGTTCCTCTGTATTGCAGAACGCTTAAATCAGTTGCCAGTTTAAAAGGGATAAGATGTTTATCAAATTGTCGGTCTAGCATGCTTAATGTCAATACATTATGAAGCATGGTAGTTATTCTTTGGACCGACTTTCTGTTAATCTCGGCATTATTCACTAAGTTCTTGTTTTCTTCTTGAGTAGACACGACGTTAATAGTAAAATTTTAAATAATTTAAATATTGGCTGAGGTTTCGGCTGTTTGGCCTTATTCATGACCTGGAATTGTCAAATTGGCACTCAAGCTACTCTGCTAATCATTTTCATAATCGAAGAAGAAGAAAGTCAGTACGTAAATTTCGTTCATATACTAAGCAGCTTCTTTTAAACGCTCATCGTTCTGCTCTCTATAAGTCTTCCATTTACTGTTGGAGACGAGCCGCACTGAGCCTTAAATGGGTGAGGGATTGATTTGCCTGGCTTAGGTTAAAAAATGGGCTTGAGGTATGGCGCAAAGTCACGAGTGACTACAAAACACCCATAGTTGCGGTCAATTTTTGGATTTTTAGAATTTACCTGGAATCCATCAAGACGTATCAAGAGTTTTACTCCCGAACTTTTAAATTTCTGTGTGAGAATAGTGATTTTAACCTTGAAATCTTCTCCGTTATGTCTTTGTGCTCTATGCGTTCCTAATGGAGTAGTTCGTTTGGTTTCAAGTTTTCCAACTAGGTGTTCTTTTATACTGACACAGAGTGGTCTACCCCGTTGGTTTCACCTTTCTATCAGCTAGTTTTCTATCTACCAGTTGTGTGGTGGTGAATGCGTTAGCTCCCGGAAAGGGTAGTATCACGTTCGTTCCCCACCGCAGACATCTGCGGTCCGGAGTTTTGCAAGTATTTCAGCACTATTGTGGTTGTATCACACATTAAATGATGAGTGTTTAAAGCTCACGGTTTGAATGAAATCTATGTATTGAATTCTTTTTGCTTAAGTTGTGGAAGTGTTCGGCTGATTAGATTAGATATCAATCTGGCACAGGTCTTAAGAAAGTGAGAGCGCTGAAAAATCAGCTTTTATTGAGTAGGTATTGTTATTGAGAAATTAATGTCTGCTGAATAAGAGAACACTGTCAGAGTACGTTGAAAAACTCTGCTGCTCCTCAACATTTAGTAGGAAGAAGTAGTTCTTGTTTTACAGATGCTCTCACTACTTCGTGTTGTGCTGTTGACAAGTTCGACGAGTTTTGTATTTTCAGGTGTATGAAATCGTTTTAAAAGAAGCAGTAGCAGTGAAAAACACTTCGTTTCCACGGAAAGTTAATGCTTATTTGGTCCAGCTACTCAACTGTCGTAGTTCTCGAACTGTGTCAAATTCTGAGCGAGTTTCTTGTTTCTTTAGAATCGATGTTGAGCGCGTAAAGGCTGACTGGATGTTGCTTGGCGGAGGTGTAGTGGTCGCAGCTTCTACGTGTGTGCTATTAGGAGAGCAAACTCAGCAGGTATGGATCTCTAGGTCCTATGTCAATTTGAATTCGTTTCTATATGTATCTTCAGTGTATCTTCGCTGTCGTTACATTTCAAGTGTAAACTGTATTGATATCTACTATATTCCGAAGAAATTTCTATGGTTTATAGTTCCATGGTAATCTGTAATAGTCTACAGAATACAATCGTAATAATTCTGAGATATAATATTTGCAAAACTCCAGGCCCCGGGTGTCTGCGGTGGGGAGTGAACGAGGTATTACCTTTCCGAGGACTACCACGTTCACCACCACACCATGCAGGTCCTTCGTTTCGCCTAAGTCTGAATCTGCACAATAATTGTTATCTATTACAGATGATATCGGATCTTGCGAGACTTTCCGGCACTGCGCGTGAAGACATTGCTCAGATGGCAACTGCTATAATTCAGACTACGATCATGCTTCAAAATATTCGTGCAAAGTCAATTGAAGTTGAGAAAACGACGTAGTTGACGGTGAATCACATGTACATTCTTTGCTTGTTTCCCTTAAATTTCCATGTTTGCTAGTTTAGACGAAAATGAGAGCAAATTTTCACAAGTGATCGTGAAAATCTCATCTTCCACACGTTTTCTTCGTTATTTAATGCTTGTGCTCAATTTGCCTGTGAGTTACATTGTGAATCTCTTGTTGTCTGCATACTTCGCAGTTTTTTGTTGATCATTTTTTGTTGATCACTTTTGTATCTCGTTATCATAACGGAATTTTTGTCATGAATTCTGTGAATCACCTCTAGAATTAGAATTTATCACCAAAAGTAGTCACACAGGATGTTTTTTGGTGCAAATTTAAACCAGTAGGTATACTGTTATTCGATATTTACCTACTTGGTTACTTAAATGGCCCGTCCTTACCGGTTGCGCGAGCCCCAGCTTAATTTCCATTTGCTCGGAGTTCTACTAGTTTAGCCATTGTGATTCCCTGGGGTCCCGATCTCAGCCATGCTAAAGTCTGCCCTAGGTTGTCACCACCACCGGCAGTTGCTGCCCTTATGAATCAGAGGAAGGTTTGTCACCATGCAACTAGTTTGGTGCCAGAACGGTGACGTTGCACATTGCTTTTAAGCACTGATTTACTTGGATACTTGCACAGTGTGTTCCCACTTTTGTTAGTTATTCATTTTCCTTCGAATGCACAGTTAGCCTTCCCAGGCCTATTGGCCTGCCGTAGGCAGTCGTCGCCAGCAGTGGTAAATCGAGAGCGTGCGAATGAGTATCTCGAATGGGTTTCTCCCGGGCAGTGGCTGTCCTTGACATGAGTTTACAGATAAGTTGGCTTCCGTTCAGTTGTTGACGTTGTGTGATATATCATGATACCCTTAAGTGATATTTCTAGTTATTCTTTCTGGAGGAAAACAAAATATGCCTTTGCTCAGAAATCTAGCTTTTTTTGGTTTAGGGGTGGTTTGTCATAGGTCCTTTCCAAAGTATGTAATGCTGGAACAAGATGACCACTGATTTCCTTACTAGGCGGCACCACACAGCAAGAACGAAAGGCTGTGGACTCAGATCCATCCGGCTCGGAAGAAGACAAAAACGTCGAAACATTAGGCGAGTAGAAATTTGTCTCAACTTCGTGTAAGCTGAACAATCTTAAAAGTGTATTGATTATTCACGCCGAGGTTAAATGGTGCTCGCTTTCTAAAAGGGATTTCCCTAACAATAAACGCTGCTCGTATGTATCAGGTAAGTATTACCACTGTGTAGGAATACGGTAGAGGAAAGAAGTGAAGTGATTTGTTTACACATGAATTCCTCACACTAAACATTTGTCTCCTGTAGCAATGTTTTATCAGCTGGCCGAAATGTTGAAAAGGTAATTTTTTTTATTTTTTATGACGTTGCTGAATGACGGCAATTTTATATTTGAGATTGTCTCCTTGATATATCAAATGAGTTGTGTGGACATGGTGCGACGCATGCAAAATTTTTTCTTCGACTTTGGATCACCAACGTGCAAGGTAGAACTTTGAGGAATTAGCGAAGAGTACAGTTGAAGTTCTAATGAGCCAACACACACACAAATCGATTTCAAAATCGCTTGTCATAGGTCTCGTGTGTGGGCACGGGTCCTTCCGTTATCAAACACTGGAAGGAGTTTTCGTTGGCCGTAGTACTCGATAGTGGAGTGTCGCTGGCATGGCCATTATCTGAGGCTGATAGCGTTAAAAATTGAAACCGATAAACATGCTGTTTTGTAGTTTTGCGGGCTTTCTTGAATAATTTTCGTATCGGAATCCGACTACACAGTCTTTATTGAGTTCTGCGAATTAATCGGAATGAATTAAGAAAGCCTTTAAAATGAGACATTATAAAAGCGTAATGCTGAGAGAAATTCCATGATATCTAACTTGCCTATTACAAAACTTGGTAGAAGTTTGCTGAAATTTTGAATCGATGGGCATATACCATTCATCATCGAATTACTCGAGCTGTACTGCACATATATCATGTTAGATCAACTCTGCACACTCCTCTCCCTCGACGGTCGCCGAATCTTGATGCGGTACGGCATGCTTTATTTCACTATTTTTAGCGAAGGAATGACCAAGAAGCTGTCCGTAGTCCGCCGTTGCAAGGATTTTCGAGTCAGAATGTCGGACTTCTTAGTGTGGGTAACCATGTTAAGAAATGAGCTATCCAGCATCCGTTGCAATTGAACACCAAGGAACACCTCCTTGCCAAGATGAGACTGCAAGCGGTACCGGATTTGTAAGCAAGAGAATTCAGGCTGTCTAAACACAATCGAGCGACTCGAACCGAATCATGGCCAAATGCTATCTCTAATGAGGGTCAATTTTCATCCTTTGATGTCCCTTTACTTTCTTTATCCGAACTCCAGAGGACGATTAAATCTACCAGAACATTCTGCGTTTTTGAATAATTTGTAAACAAGTGTAAAGAAAAATTCAGCGACCAGTTTGTGCTAGGACGTGAATGTCGTCATTGTCTTGAAGTATTTCATCAGAAAGGTGATTCGTAGTGCTGTCACAGCGAAACTGCATCGGTGTATGCAAAATGGATCCTTCAATAATTCTGATCTTCCTGCGATTTTAACGCTGACATATTTCCTGCCGAAGTGCTGTTCATTTCCTTTTATCCGAAGATGGTTGTGTTAGCGCACTGTCAGCTACTCATGGCCACGTCACTTGTGACTCAGAAGTTACTTCTGGGGTGGACGGGTGCAAGGAATGCGAGAAATTTTAAAACATTCCTGTATGACAGGCAGGAATTTAAGCACTAGCTAAAACGACCACGTGCTCGCCTAAGGACTAGGTGGATTCATCTAATGCATTCCTTGTGTTCGTTTGCTGGTCCGACTTATATCTTCTGTATACAGTGAACTATTAACTTTCTAGGCTCTGAGGAAGGCGGAATCCGCCGAAACGTCGGCTTATTCGTGAATAAGGAATAAAAATAACACCTCGCGTTTGCTTAACAAGAATACGAAGAATTACAGTTATTTATTTCCACGCATATTTACGTGCATGGGCTTTCATGTGTGCTTTTATAAAAGCTTGT